TGGGATAATTTTTGAATCTCCTTTCCACTTGACAGCTCTCAAAAGTCTATGGCCCGGTGTTCACTGTGTACTTTGGCATGAAGCCCACGGTGGTGCTGCATGGGTACGAGGCCATCAAGGAAGCCCTGATCGACAGGGGCGAGGAGTTTGCTGGAAGAGGCCATTTCCCATTGGCTGAGAAAACTAACCAAGGGTTTGGTAGGTGTGCGTGTGGGCTAGGGATGGGGAGGATGGAAAATAAGAATTTTAAGATCTCTTCAGAAAGCTTGGCCCCTCGGTGTGGACGCCAAGGGTCAGCTTCCTCCTCCTTGTCTGGGACCTCACTGCCAGTTTCTGTTTCCCTCCTTGGTAGGAATCCTTTTCAGCAGTGGAAAGAGATGGAAGGAGATCCGGCGCTTCTCCCTCATGACCCTGCGGAATCTGGGCATGGGGAAGAGGAACATTGAGGACCGTGTTCAAGAGGAAGCCCGCTGCCTGGTGGAGGAGTTGAGGAAAACCAATGGTGGGTGATTCTATGCACTGTAACTCTGACCTTAACCTTTCAGGGCGGTCTGCCTCCCGCGGAGGAGTGAGGGTCTGAAGCAGAGCGCAGGGAGGTTTTGTGTGTCTGTGCTCCTTGTGCGTGCATACCCTTGATTGTGCATAGTGTGGATACAAAGGGTCATTCGTTCCTATTTTCTCTAAACTTTAACTATTTTCACATCCGAAATCACAAAGGATATTTTTGAGTCTCATATTTTGACAAAGCCAGGGAACAATGTTTTTGCTATAGCAAAACCAGAGCACTTCACCAGGTGATGCTTGTCAGGTGGATGTGGTGGGAATTGCCTCATCACTCTCAGATGAAGCATGTAACAAGTAACATGTGCCTAGATTTGCATGGTCAATCTCTAAGAGTGCCTTTCAGGGCCCAGTCCCATAGTTCAGGCCAATAATGATGCCATCTATGGTATTAATCACTGAGGCATGTCTTTGTACAATTCTCATCATCACTTATGATTTCTCTGTAGAGACAGCACTATTTTAAACATATTGGCATTAATTACTATTTGTTACTCACTGTATGGATTTATGTATTTTGAATACATGCTACATTAAAATTCTTCAAAATACAAAAAAGTCATCCATAAAAAAAAGTCTGGAACTCAAAAGAAAATGGGCTAGAGATTTAATAGCACTTTAAGAAAGAGGATATTATTAATATGGGCAATAAACATATGGGAAGTTTTTCAACTTCCTTAATAATGAGGGAAATGCAAAATAAAAATATAAAAATCCACATCCAACAGAATAACTAAAATTTAAAAGACTAACAATACCAAATTTTGATTATAATGTATAGCAACTGAAATTCTTATAACTATCCTATATAATAAAAGCCTAATGTGCTAAGTGTCTGACAGTTCATTCGACCGTTTGACCAGTCACTATGATGTGCACTGACCACTAGGGGGGAGATGCTCTGACCGGTTAGCTTGCTGCTGGGACCCAGTCTATTGGGACTGGGCAAGACGGGCCAGAATGCTCTAGAACCCTCCCTCCCTGCCCTGATCATGCACTAGTAGGGTCTCTTGGCCTGGCCTGTGCCCTCTAGCAATCTGGGACCACTTGGGGTATGTTGGAGAGCTGATTGGTTTTGGCCTGATCCTGCAGGCCAGGCGGAGGGGCCCCACTGGTGCACATATTTGTGCACCAGGCGTCTAGTCATGATAAGAGAGAAGCACTGATTGGTTGCCTCCTGCACACCCGCTCCAGGAGATCGACCTTGGAACCCAGGCATGTGCTCTGATCGGGAATCAGACCATGACCTCCTGATTCATAGGTCAATGCTCAACCACTGAGCCACACCAGCAGAGCTACCTATTTTAAATTCTTCCTTCCATATTATGTGAAAGGAAACACCAAAAATCATATTTCACCTGTGAATCACAGACAGACAAAGAAATCCCCAAGACTTTTCAAATTATCCTTTACCTATCAGGTTAAAATAAAAGTTGTTTTAGCCCTGGCCGGGTGGCTCAGTTGATTAGAATATAGTCCTATACACCAAAAGGTTGCAGGTTTCTTTCCCAGTTGGGGGCGTCTACAGGCAGCAACTGATCGATGTTTCTCTCTCACATCAATGTTTCTCTCTCTCTCTCTCTTCCTCTCTCTTTAAAATTCAGTAAAAGCATATCCTCAGATGAAAAATTTAAAAAAAAAAGTTTTTTTAAAGCTTAGAGCCCTGGAATATATTTTTTAAATCCTCAACCAAGGATACTTTCCATTGATTTTTTTTCTTGATTTGAGAGAGTGGAAAGGAGGGGAAGAGACAGAGAGAAAAAAACATTGTTGACTGGTTGCCTTCCATGAGGTTCCTGACCTGGGTAGCCTGCAACCGAGGTACCCGCTCTTGACAGGAATTGAACTGAGGACCCTTCAATCTGTGGGTCTACTCTCTATCCACTGAGTCAAATCAGCTAGGGCCTTGGAACGTTTAACAGAGCCTGGTCTAGAAGTCACTAACTAGATATTTCCTTTTATTCTACGCCCTACTATTTCCTCCCCACATTTAACAAAATTTATAGTATAAAGCAGTGGTCACCAACCTTTTGGACCTCACAAACCACCAGTGGTTCATGGACCAGCAGTTGTGGACTGCTGGTATAAAGCACATAACATGAGATCTACCCTCTTAGCAATTAAGCATACATTACAGTATCAGGCAGCTAACTGCTCAGTAGGGCTCAAGCCCCACAGGGTGGGGTGACAGGTAATCCAGAGGGTGGGGCTATTGCTTTCCCCCAGGGGAGTGTGCCACCCAAGAAAGATGGCATCTGTGTTATTAGAGAATGACTCAGGACAGGTTCCTGGTGGCTCTCTCCCCAGAGCCACAAACCCAGTCTCTCCTCATAGAACTATAGTCTATGCCACCCTCCCTCCCTCTGTCAGAGCCCAGTGTTAGTGGTTATGAGATTTTGGGTATTGGTTCTTTAAGAGGGTACCTGTGTCACTAGCAGACTTCCATCTCCCCCTGGTGGACAGAATTCCTGCTAATTTTCACAGCCAGACATTACATGGGAGCCTCTTCCAGGCTCTTGTGCTCTGGGCTGGGTAGCCTGGCTTGCAGTTGAGACCCCACCCTTCTCAGGTGGAACCTTTGCAGCTGAGATCTCTCTCCAGAATCTCAGCTACCAGCCTTTTTCATGTCTCCACTCTCCCTACCAGTCTCAATGTGCC